CTCTATTAATCCGAGTAACTAAGTCATGGTGCAATGATTGATCATTACATCAGACAATTTCACGCATATTTTGCATAGCGTATGATTTTCAAATCGATTCATTTTTAAACAAATAGGTAATTTTGTTGGTTTTACTTACTGTGCAATATTCTTAATCGCAACAAAACGCGAGTTATTTAATGTTTTGAACTGTCAAAATACAATGATCACAGCCTCCTACGATTGATGCTTGCTGACGCTGGTTATGAATTTCATACCATTTTAAAGCGCTCATAACGCATGTTAATAAAAACGCAGAAAAACAATTTTCTACCACTTGTAGTTATTCAAAACTTACGTAAAATTAAAGAATATACTATTTTCTATTTTCAAATGGTATTCCCATGCAACTACAATGAGTAGAAATAAGCAATTTGAAGGCCTAAATAATTGCAGCGAAACATTTTTTTACGTCGGGCCGCTTGACAACTTCAAAACTGAAATTATATTCGAGGTTAGGGTCTCACTTAGTTACCATGACAACTCAACAATCAAGGCGACAACACCTTTTATGTTTCACTGGTGACTTGGAGAAAATAATTTGCATTGTTGAGAAACGAAAAATAAATTTTAAAAATATTTAATTTTCAACCATAATTCGGCGTGGAATTTTCTTACCGAATACCACGCGAGGTCAAATTAATATCAGGAAATTTTCGGAAATTTAACCTCTAGTGGTATTACTAGTGAAAATTCCATGTTATCTATGCGAAGTAGACTACTCCTTTTTAATAGCCAGTTATACAGTGTGTCACATTTAAGATGAAGACACCCCTATATTTTGTCTATCTAAATAAATACAGATTTGAAGTTTCGCAGAGTAATACAGGGTGATGGTTCATATTTTTTAAGATGCTCAACTGAAATTTAAATTTTAAACGCGGCCTACTGCGAATCCACAAACAGGGTCAATTTTCAAAATTTTTCTTCGCGTTGCAGATATCAGAAAAAGTTATTTGAACAAGTTGTTCAGAATATCATTCTTACCCCATATACTAAATTTCATGACAAAATTCGCATTTTTAGTTTTTTCATTATTTTTGTCAATACACAAAATTATTAAATGTTGATTTTTTTATTCGATAAACTAGTGTGTCATGGATAGGAATAATTTAATACTTGTGAAATCATTAATGTCAATCATGGCACACTAGTTTATCGAATAAAAAAAATCAACTTTTAATAAATTTTTGTATTGACCATACTAATAAAAAAACTAAAAATGCAAATTTTGTCATGAAATTTGTTATGTTGGGTTAGAATAATATTCGGAACAATTTTTTTGATACCTCTAACGCGAAGAAAAATATCGAAAATTGACCCTGTTTGTGGATTCGCAGTAGGCCGCGTTTAAAATTTAAATTTCAGTTGAGGGTCTTGAAAAATCACCCTGTATGACTCTGCAAAATTTCAAATCTATATTTATTTAGATAACCAAAATATAGGGGTGTCTTCATATTAAATGCGACACACTGTATAACCCGCTGCGAGTGAATCTTTGTGGGACAAGTAAAATGAACAAGTTACGTTAAATGTATTATAAAATTTTGTTCGATAAAAAATTACTAACATTTATGTAACCAGTATTACTTTTGTGAATTATTGGTTGCATAACTTCATTCATTTAATTGACATATCTAAAAATGTAAAATCATATAATTTATTTTCATCCACTTGTTGTAGGGTGTTTATTTTGCTTGTTAAAGTTATTTAGATTTTTTAGAAAGTAAGCTATTTCATCGTGTATTTTGTTTTGATTATTTTGTGCAGATTTAGAATGGAAAATAAGGACCACAACAAAATTATTACTAGGTTGTAAGTTCACTAACAAAATATATTTTTATACATCCAATCTTCCTTGCAAATAATTTTAATTTATATATTTACTAGCTGACCCGATACGACTTCGCTGAAATTTCTTAAACCAAAATTAATAATTAAAAGTATGTAACAGTTTTCGTTATTCGTGAGAATTTGTTTTTAAAATTAATTTCGATTACTTTTTATTAATTAATTTTATTAATTTTTATTAATTTTTATTAATTTTTATTAATTTTTATTAATTTTTATTAATTTTATTAATTTTATTAATTTTTATTAATTTTTATTAATTTTATTAATTTATTATTTAATATTTTTATTAATTTTTATTAATTTTATTAATTTTTTATTAATTTTTATTAATTTTTATTAATTTTTATTAATTTTATATTAATTTTTATTAATTTTTATTAATTTTTATTAATTTTTATTAATTTTTAATTAATTTTTATTAATTTTTATTAATTTTATTAATTTTATTAATTTATTAATTTTTAATTAATTTTTATTAATTTTATTAATTTTATTAATTTTTATTAATTTTTATTAATTTTATTATTAATTATTTTTATTAATTTATTATTAATTTTTATTAATTTTTATTAATTTTTATTAATTTTTATTAATTTTTATTAATTTTTATTAATTTTATTATTTTTATTATTTTATATTTTTATTAATTTTATTAATTTTTATTAATTTTTATTAATTTTATTAATTTTATTATTTTTATTAATTTTTATAATTTTATTAATTTTTATTAATTTTTATTAATTTATATAATTTTTATTAATTTTTATTATTAATTTTTTATTAATTTTTATTAATTTTATTATTTTTATAATTTTTATTAATTTTTATATTTTTATTAATTTTTATTAATTTTTATTAATTTTTTATTAATTTTTAATTTTTATTAATTTTTATTAATTTTATTAATTTTTATTAATTTTTATTAATTTTTATTAATTTTTATTATTTTTATTAATTTTTATTAATTTTTATTAATTTTTTTAATTTTTATTATTTTTATTAATTTTTATAATTTTTATTAATTTTTAATTTTTATTAATTTTATTATTTTTATTAATTTTATTAATTTTTATTAATTTTTATTATTTTTATTAATTTTTATTAATTTTTAATTTTTATTTATTTTTTATTAATTTTTATTATTTTTATTAATTTTATTAATTTTTATTAATTTTTTATTAATTTTTATTAATTTTTATTAATTTTTATTAATTTTTATTAATTTTTATTAATTTTTATTAATTTTTATTAATTTTTATTATTTTTATTAATTTTTATTAATTTTTATTAATTTTTATTAATTTTTATTATTTTTATTAATTTTTATTAATTTTTATTAATTTTTATTATTTTTATTAATTTTTATTAATTTTTATTATTTTTATTAATTTTTATAATTTTTATTAATTTTTATTAATTTTTATTAAATTTTATTATATGTTTTATTAATTTTTATTATTTTTATTATTTTTATTAATTTTTATTAATTTTTATTAATTTTATTAATTTTTATTATTTTTATTATTTTTATTAATTTTTATTATTTTTATTAATTTTATTAATTTTTTATTAATTTTTATTAATTGTTTATTTATTTTTGTTATTTTAATTTTTATTAATTTTTATTGATTTTGTTATTTTTATTAATATTTATTTATTTTTATTAACATCTAATGTTGAATATATGAAGTATCCACAAGAAATGTTTTTAAGGGACTGAGATTACCATATTGTTTTTTGTAATAATTCATTTAATTATTTTGAGTAGCACTTACCTGAAATCTGTTGTTACCAACTGGTGGAGCAGCATATGGTATTCCTAGAAATGCCCAAAATTTTATCTTACTTTCATAAGTGTAAGCAATCTTTCCCTTAATTTTTCATTTGGCAATTGCACTATAGTATTATCGGCGCAATACTAAAACATTTTATACCATTTTAATCGTAACTGTGGAGGTTGTTGAAGTTTTAGACTAATATATTTCAATATTTAAAAATATAATTTTGAGAATTTTGTTAATTTACTGCATTTTTTAGATTATAAAAATTTCTTTTTTGTATTCTTTTAAATAGTGTTATTTTCTAATTTTATTTAAATATTTTTATATTTTTTTTATCCTTAATGTAATGCCATAACTAGTAAGTCTTAATTTATCTTTGAAAATGTTTATGTCGGTACGATATACAGGGTGAGTCGGGAGGAGCGCACCAAACTCTAGGAGTATATTATACACATGAAAATAATGTAAAAAACTCATATGTTCTTATCCGATTTTCATTTGTTTTCAAGTTATAGCATATTAACAGATAAAAAAAATTTACACATAAAAATTCTCCCAATCATAGCGTTCTTTCAGTAAATGTTCAAACATACCGCCATTAACTTCTAAACATTTTCTGCTTCGTCTACGAAGAGTGTTTGTTGCTCTCCTAATTGATTCATTTCTTTCTTCTTTAATATGGTCTGCAGTATTCTCATTTCGTCTAATTAGTGCATCCCGTGTGTCCACTTTTATTTTGTAGACTTTATTTTTCATCCAGCCCCATAAACAAAAATCTAATTGTGTGAGGTCTGGAGATCTTGCAGGCCAATTAATAGGACTTTCACGACCAATCCAACGCCCTGGAAAACGTTCGTCCAAATGTTGTTTGAGCTGACGAGCGACATGTGCAGGAGCCCCATCGTGCTGATAGTACATCTGCATTCTAATAAAGCTAGATGAACGTTTTTAATTACGCCATAACTTGAAAACAAATGAAAATCGGATAAGAACATATGAGTTTTTTTACATTATTTTCACGTGTATAATATACTCCTAGAGTTTGGTGCGCTCCTCCCGACTCACCCTGTATATGGGACTAAGTTACGATTTTTTGTACGATGAGAAAATAATGGGCGTGTCTGTTAGATGTAGGGATGATTAGGTATTTGAATATCACGATTAAAATATTTGTTAATTTAATATTAAAATAATTATTGCTAAATTTATCCAAAACTGAACCTACCACTAAAATGCAGTTGACTAATAAACATAAAAATTTAAACGTACTCTCCATTCTCAATAGTTTCAATAAAACGACTAACTTTTTACATAAAATTTATTTATCTAGAAAATTACAAAAGTACCACTTGAAATTATTTTATAATATATTATCAGTATGATAACAGAGGCTCTTGAGCATATTTATCGTAAATCGCTACCCATTTTTTGTAAGTTCCATTTCTAGGATTTGTTTTAATTGATAGGTTTTCATCAATATCCAAATAATTTAATTTGTCAGGATTAAGCTTGGGCCAAGTTATGTTCTGAAATATTTCATCTTTTTCAGGAGTAGGATTTCTAAAAAAATATATAACTCTTAAACGAAATAGTATTTACGTATTAATTGATTCGGAAAGAGGAATTTTCTGTTGTGGGCATAAATTGACATAATGACGGTATCTAAAGTGTGTGGGATTTAATTGAAACCAAGGAAAAATTGTTATACAGAGTGTCATTATATTTGTCCAACAACGCTTTACCCTAGAGAGCTCTTATTAATTGATAAATTTTAATTAGGAACATAAACCCGTGAAGAAATTAATTATCAAGAAGTAGGGTGCTAAAAGTTTGAAATCAAAATTTAAAATTTGACATGAATAAAAATCGCCTTTAATATGTTTGATGAGCTATATGCTCTTTAAGAAAGTAATATTTTGTTATAATGTAACTTTTGAAAAATTTTACCAGTGACACACTTTCATGGTTTATTATATTATGTATTAATGCAAAACCAAAACATTGAACATTTATTTAATACCCCATGTTTATCAAAATATCAAATATTTAAAAAATGGTTAGGTACACGGAAAAAAATGTGACTAGAAAATTTTACTACAATGTTGTAGTAGTAGACTTGTAGAAAAATACTTAACAATTTTTACTACAATTTATAGTTAAAAACTATTAATTATTGTAGCAATTGAATTGTCGAATAAAATGCTACAACAATAGGAAAGAAGTCCACAATGTTTAGTATATTTTACTATTGTTTGTAGAAGTAGAAATTTATTACAATTATCGTAATTACTACTACTAACTTCTGTAAAAATTTGTACAAATATTAATAATTATCTCTACAAAAAATAGTAATACTTTACATCCCTTCTTATAATAAACATTCAATTTTGTTGAAAAATATTCTACAATATTGTAGAAATTCTTAGTCATGTGAACAAAACAAAATTCTGCTATTGGCCAACGTTTTCTGACGTCGATCATAAACGGCCAGACAGCAGTAGCCGTTCGCCATGTTCACATAACAAATACATAAATATACGAGTACCTATAACACATTATATTATAAGCACCGATGCGTTTGAGAAAATTTTAATAATAAATTCTATTGGTGGTTAGTACATTTAATATTGTTTCTGAATAATTTACCTTTAGATAACTAATTTAAATAACCTTAGTAGATTATTTTAAAAAAATAGTTGTGGCCAACGATCGAATGTTGTGCCCAACGATCGAATTTTGTGCCAAGTTTAATGATATTTTTTTGTCTTAATTGTGACATACCTACTTTCTCATTTTTGTTAGTTATCTGACTTAGTTTAATTTAATGTCCAAATCAGTGTAAAGGTGATAAATATCCCCGTTTTAAGGGTATGAACAGTTCAATTGGTATTAATTTTTATTTCAAATTTTTCAGGTGCAGAAAAGCCAACTGAGACTGAGGGCGCTATTATTACTGTTATTTATTACATAATGTAATTAAGAATTTGTATCTTTTATATTAAAACAATAAATTGAATATTTTATTAAGGAACATTTTTTTCTAGGTTATAATTATAATAATTATGGAATACTACTACATATTTTATTAAAAATTACTACAATTTGTATGAATTTTTACTATTTATTGTGTAAAAGTTTCGTATTTATTTTCATAAAACGCAATACATTTTTAATATAAATTCATACAATGAATAGCAAAAATTATAACAATTTGTAAACAATTCTTATGATGCATTTGGACATTTTTACTAAATATTGTAGATAATAACTCTACAATACATTCTCCACAAATATTTGGAAATTTTTACTACAAATTGTCCCTGTCCCTATATGTACTATTTATTGTAGAGAAAAAATCTACAATTGTAGAAATTTGTTCTACAATTATTTTTCCGTGTATCAACACAAATCCAAAACTGTTTATCCGAATTTTTAAAAAAAAGTAATTTAGATAATTATTTTCCTCAAGCCAATTTCCCTTTTCGGTTAGAGCTCTATCGTTGAATACTTTTTGGAGACCTTTGTTAGTGCTGAGTATGTTGGTGTTAGTTGTTTCCAAATTTCAAGTGGGTTTTTCAAAAATTCGCTTATTGTTGTTTTTAGGTACAAAGAAACCAAATTCCAAAACATTGAAATGTCTACCTTGATGTCAATAAAATATCGTTTTAGAAAACATCGATGTTCGATGCTCATCCCTAGATTATCTTTAATCTATACAACGCAGACCTAACCAGCCAGGAGGACTCCGTCCCGCGTTCTTAGATGGAGACAACGATGAATGCTTGCTACTTACGTAACCGGTGATAATGTGTTTTGTCTGATATTCAGAATTCCATTCGAATTTCTTACTTTAACATTCAGTATTAATTTAGACTAACTAATGTATTATCGTTATCATACTTTTTCTCTATAATATTTTAGAAGACATTTTTTATATAAATATAGATAAAACAAATAAAATATTTTAATAGTCCATAATCCATATAAAATATAAAAGATAGACAGGACAATATAAACATAAATAAAAAGGTAGGATTTTGGACTAAACCGTATTTGGAACGTCACGTTTTCATTAATACGATTTTATTTTATGGGCCTTATAATAAAATCTACAAAAATTAAAAAGGCTTTCTAGGATATTACAGAAATTACACATATGGTTTGTTACAAAGATATCATTAACGTGGAAAAAAGATTACAAGTAGCGCTATATTATCACTGGAACGTCTACATTGTTTCATAACAAAAGTCAACGTATCTAAACTGGGACTAGGTGGTTAAGTATATATCTCAAAGATAAAAACAAGAGGATAAACAAAAGTTACAATATAAAAATGTAATGTAGAATTTTCATTTATTAAAAGTTTTAGTGGGAGTTGAAATTAAAACTCAAATTCTGACTAAACTTTTGCCCACATTTGCTAAAAGTACCTTTTCAATATGACAATTACAGAAAAATCGTAATTTTAATTTTGTTTTTTTAAAAATAATTAACCTCTCAACTCTTATTTACCCATTCGCAGACACCGAAGTTTTTGGAAAGTCGATTTAAATGGTGTAATTTAATACTTTTTAAAACATAGTTTAAAAGTGGTAACTTTCAACCCCCTTCGAAGTGGTGGTATTAAGTAAACTAACATAATTTTTTGACACACTATTAGCCCTTGAGAGTTAGGTAGGTCTTTATGAAAGACCCTGTATAATGTTAGATTAATTTTCTTATAATTATACAAATATCCTTCATAAATTAACACTAATAATAATTATTAAACTTTTGATTTGCTGTCAATTATTTTCGTCTAGTGTTAAGGCAGGTATTTATTACTTACAAATGTTTAATAAAATTAACGAAGAAACCAGTGTACCGCTGTACTGTTTTAGCATCTGATTCAGATATCGCATTGAGATCTCCTGAATATAGATATCTTCCATCTTCTCCATGTTCTACTCTACCACATCCTAAAAAATATTTAAATTTTAAGGAACTTCATGGCATAAACAAAATAAAGTAAATATATTTATTGATATACAAAAAGCATATGACATAGATTTAAAGAAGGCTTTTTGGCGCAACCTAAATATGAATTCAATGATTTTGTTTCAGGCTCCGATATGAGGTCCAAGAATAAAAAAATTAAGTGTGTGCTATTGAAACTTGATAATCTGTTAAAACAACTCTGTAATTTTTACCTATAGATTTAATAACATTTCTGAAATAGGTAGCAAATTTGATAATACTTTCTTATTTCGAAAAATTAAGAAAAATCTTATTTTAATTAGTTTTTGTGTTTATATTTTATACGTTTAGTAGATAATACTATGTATGATAAAATTTTGTAGTCTTTTAATTTTTTCTTTCAAATCTCTTCAATGTACAGTGCAAATGACAGAGTTGAATCATACCTCACTCCCAAATATATAAATTCATTAATTATTCTATTTAAGTATTCTCCCCCCATAATCAATTCAAAATGTATTGAATTTATTTTATGTTTTAAGGAGGAGGCAAGTTATAAATGTAAAATACCCGTCGGTCAGAATTTAATGAAATTTTGATATGTTGTAGAACTTGATATATGGATCAAATATCTTTGGTGCATCAAAGCTCTAAGTTTAACAGTTTTTGATTAAAATCAGTATTTCACAATTTTACATTTTCATAAAATGCATGTTTTTGTCAATATTAGCACAAAAATAAGAGGAACCTGTTTTTTTTTCGTAGAACTAACTACAATACTCTATTTGCTTTCATACTTTTTATACATACAACAGATATATAGGGTGAGACCATCATGTCCTGTATCATATTTGCTACTTCTTTTTGTTTAGTAAATGGAAGTCTTCTAAGTGCTTGTCGTATTTGCCTTGCATCGCCTGTATAAATTCTATGCTGAACAAGACTGGTACGTCCCGTAGATTTTCCTTTCTCAAAAATGTCACAGTTGGTATTGATGAATTCATTAAATTTTCTAAGTTCTTCAGCTGTCAGGTGGTCATAATTTTTAAATAGCTGTTTTACGAAGCTGGCTTTCCCCGTGGAACGGTCTTCGCACTTGATTATCTTTTCTACCGGTGTACAGAGCCCTATTGTATTTTCTTCAGTTTGAATAATCTCTTCGTTAAATTGGCAACCCTTACTGGAATTAGTTGATCAACGTTAACGAGACATCTAGCTACCAGAATTCCGTCACACAATAAAGCATAGGTATATTTATTATTTTTGTCTATCATTCTATAAAAACTTTATTTTTCAAAACCAGAACGTCCAATTGCATGAGTTTTTCATTTGAAGAAGTCTAAGTATGGCTGTGGCCCTTTATATTTAAACACCTAGTATAAATATAAACTCAAGGTAAACATGGGTATTTTAGTTGGCTGATCAGAAAATGAACTAGAAATATTAAATTATTAAAAAATGAAACGCTCTGTACTTCAAAAGTCTATTGGAACTAACTTATATTAACAATAATTTAAATCGAAATATAGAATTAGCTTGCTTTCTTAAAAATATCAAAACAATCCCACCGTCCTTTTTTTTTGTTTTTTTCAAAAACATATTTATGGTCTCACCCTGTATATCAGTTGTATGTGAAAAAATTATGAAAGCAAATAGAGAATTGTTGTTAGATCTACAAAAAAAATGGTTTACTTATTTTTGTACTAATATTGACAAAAATATGCATTTTATGATAATATGAAATAGTTCTTTTGGACACCCTGTAAATCAAAAACTGTTTAACTTAGAGCTTTGGCGCAATGGTAATATTTGATCGATAGGACATGTTCTACAACATATCAAAATTTTGTAAAATTCTGACTGAAGGGTATTTTACATTTAAAACATGCCCCCTCCTTTTATTGTTTCACTTTTTGAGATTAAAATAAAATTAATTTTTATTGCTTTATTGATATATTCTGACTATTATTCATTTGGAAATTTAATACTTGAGAAACTCCAGAACCTATAAATTTGACTTTAAATGTCCATGATTTATTCCAAAATATTCTAATTTGTCCAATATTATGCTATGACTAACTCTATCAAACGCCATAGCGGATCATATTCTCAAACGAGCGTAGATGGGTAAAAGCTTAAAGGATGAAGCGTAAAAATATATTTACATAGACAAGCTTAATGAGTAAATATTCCAAATGTTTTTTTGAAGAGACTAGCATAAGTGGTAATGGAACCAAATATTTTAATATGATAATATTAAGGGATAAATCATTTTTATATGGAGAAGTTTAAGACACAAACAGGCAAAATATTTTTACAGGAACAGACTCAAGAGCTCAAGGGCCTAAAAATTTTTATATGTGCAGGAAACCAAAGGGTTACAAAGGGAACTACAATGCTTCACAAACCTAAAAATTCAACGACTTAATATTTCTCGTCTTCTTTTGTTCCAAATTAAATTGTTTCTCGTTTCTTTTATAGGTACTACGAGTTTATCCGTGGTTGCCTCAATATCGATAAAGTATGAATCAACAATTTATCGTCTCGCGAAATTTTGCCTATATTTTGCATTAGTAAGTACAATATTGTTTTCTACTTTTAGTAGAGAAATACATTTTCTTTATGAAGTAACATATTTTTTGTAAAAAAAAACGATATTCTTTTATTTATAGTATTTACTACATGGCAGCTTGGACTTCTGTTTTTTGAAAAAGTGTAACATGTCGGATTTAAAAAATATTAACATACCTTCATAAGTCAAATTGTTCCTACCAAGTATTCCATGATATGAAAATTGATATAAGTAAACGTCTGAATATTTCGCTTGAAGTTGTGCATACATGATTACACCTCTGATAAATTCGTTATCACTTCTAACCTGAAAAGATGATTTAGAAAGCCTAAAGTAGGTTACCATCAGAACAAAAATATTTACGATGATAAGTATAGAGTCTAAATAAGTAAAAAATAAAATACAGTTTTAAACAGCTAAATTAAATAAATTCAGTATCCCGGTTACTGTGCATATTATAAAAAATTCCGAAACACGTCAATTTTATATTATAAAATGACATCTATCAAAATCGTCTTCTATGAGTTGGTATCAATTTATAAGGATGTATTTTATTTTCTTCTAATATTCGAGTAATTGATGTATGGCCACCATCTAATATTGCGGCTGCTTGTCGACTCGAATTATGTGGGTTCTCCTCGAGTTTGATATCTTTACTCAGTGAATTCGAAGGTTTCTGCCTTACATGCCTAAGCTCACGAATTTGTTTTTTAATTTTATTTGTTATTGTAACTTGAAACATTTTAATGGTTCCTCAAGATATAGGCGTCAAGTCAAAAATTTTTCTTTGGCCTATGTTGGTGATTTATCTTCGTAACCAATCATTTGTAAAATTGTTATTTTATGCATTTTCGTTAAATTAATCATGTTTTTGATCTGTAGTTAATAAATTAAAATGAGACGCACTGCACTGACATCAATGAATGTCATGCTGTTACAATCATGCAGCAAGTTGCCAAGACGTTTTAAACGAAATTAAGAGTACCAACTATGAAGAATGTCGATACTATCTCTTTTTTTTGTTAATACCATCGAAAAAAGCCAACAAAGAAGGGTATGCTTTTGATAGGGAAATTTGGGCGGTCTCTGACAAAAAATTTAAATCGTTTAAATGCTTAGAAACGAGTAATGTCAATAAATTCAATGTGGCAACGTTTTGTTTTAATTACTTTAATGACTATTTGTCAGAAGTGACATTTTCTTGTTATTGTTGATAACAAAAAGTGTGAATCGTTTTCTTTTCAATTCGTTTATTATTTAATTAGTTAGCATTTTTTTTACTTCGTTTTCTGTTCAGTTCGTTTATTATTTAATTAGAATATTTTTTTATTGCATCATTCTCTATTCAATTCGTTTATTATTTAATTAGTTAGAATACCATTTTATTTTTACACTTTTTGTATCTATATTCGATAATTTTACATGGCCCCAATAGTCCAATCAAATAGACCTTTAGATCAAAATTTTGGAGGAAATACAGGAATTTTTGATATAAGTCACTTTAGAGTATTTAAAAACGATATGTAAAAATATTTTGTTTTTTAGGCACCGGCAAATGTCAAAAAACAAGAAAATAAAGTGTTTTTTTAAGTTCTTTATAAAAATTGTAAAGCATAAAGTTTTACATATTATTAAAACTGACAGAGTTATGGTGGTTAGAAATTAAGAGGAGAAAGATATGACTTGGAAAATACATAAGGGGCTGAAAATTTATTGATTTTGTAGTTTCTTTTGGTAGTTTATTTTCGTGTTTTTTGAAATTTGCTGGTGCCTGAAACACAAAATTTTTTTACATATCGTTTTCAAATACTCTAAAGTAACTTATATCAAAAATTCCTGTATTTTCTCCAAAATTTGGATTTAAAGGTCTATTTGGTTGGACTACAATAGTGTTTTGGGTGCAATGGGTACATCAATAAAAAAAGTACTTCAAAAACGGACAACAATGAAACCTATCGGCAGTTTCTACAGA